AAACAAAANAAAAAAAACGAAAGAAAGAAAGACAAAACAATATAACTAGCTAAGATTGTTCTAAATCATATGACTAGAAATATTACGGTATTTAATACGTGCATAACCTTTGACCCGAAGATATAATACAAATATTAACATTATCTGTTTGATAATTTCAACTACTCAATACCATATACATCATGTAATTGTTTTTATCACTTATAAATAATTAATTTAAAAAAAAAAAATGTTAAATGATAATTTTCTATTTTCTAAACTTGTATGTTGAATGAATGGAAAAGATTGGTTAAATTGATAATTATTTGTTATGTTTTGGTGTAAATTTCCTTTTTTTCTTTTTCTTTTTTCTTGATCCGAAAAGCGGAAATTTTTGTATGATTCAGTAACTATTCCGATTTATTTGGTCTATCTAATGGTATTATCAGCATTCAGGAAAAATAAAAGTGATGAAAATACTTTTGATGGAACGGAAAGATCTTTTTTTTCCCCTTCTTTCTTTCTTTCTCTCTCTCTCTCTTTCTTCTTCCCTCTCTTTATTGCTTGAAATTGATAATTTTTTCTTTTTTTGTTAAGAAAGAAACAAAAAAATTTAAAAAAAAAACCACAACAATATTGTCTTGGAAATTCTTTTTAGTTACTTTAAATATATCCTATATATATGCTTATATTTTACAAATAAATAACTCTCTGATATGATAAAAAGAAAAGAAAGAAATGAATAATTAGTAATATTTGCTTAATTAAAATAATTAATTGGTATAAAATCTAATTAATGAAGTTTTGTATTCTATGCTAATTTTATTTATCATATGAAAAAAGAAAATTAAATTAAACAATTAATTAATAAATGTTATGAATAAATTTAAAAGAAAATTAAATTAAACAATTAATCAATAAATAAATTAAACAATTAATTAACAAAATAATAAAAATGTTTCTAATTTTGTCAATTTTTTTTTTTTGTTGGATAAATGACATTTTATTTTAGTGCAATAATATATAC